AAACTCTCTGACTATATGCTATTCCTATCCTGCTATCATTTATTACCTAAATTCATCTAACCCTGTACTACTTCCATTTTTAGAAAATATCAACAGAGCTGATATGAATTCACAAACTTTATGATTCAAAGTCTAGGTCTATTTCAAGTACCCCTTCACCAACTTCTTAATCAATGGATGCTGTAGTACCTAAATATGCTATGCTATATTTAATCTAGCTTGCATATACCCTTGTTTGATATTCATATGAACCCAGTTTCTACTATAGCTTTCCACTAAGTTAGTAGTCTGTATCTTCAGATATCACATGAGATAGGCTCTCCCAAATCTGGTTACCACACAGATTGGTATTGTCAAAAATTGTCTATGCCTCTAGATATTACACAGAACAGATCTTCCCAATTTAGTTAGCTGCTAAGCCAGTTTGGTATTGCTGTACAACCTCATATAACAAATTTATACATATCTATTCTGCTAATCTTTTTATATACAGGTTTTCTAATAGACTTACTCGTATCCTAGTTATGATCTTTTTGTACGCAGATTTCCTTTCTTAGATCAAACATTAACTGGTATGACTATTAAAATCCATACTACTTCATCTAACTCAGGATTTCTATCATGCAGGTTCCCTGCTTATAGATCCTATTATAATTTATTTGTATAACGTTATGCTCTCCCAAATACCCTGTCATACTTCCAATACCCTAATTGGCATTGGTACAACATAATTTACAGGGTTACAACTCCAGAAATGAGCAGAGCTTACTATAAGTTGAATACAAATATCTAGGTAATTATTCAATTCTATCGACAGTGGAATTCGAACCCTAGACCTATTGTATAGTGGTCTGGTAATCTAACTACTATACTAAGATTATCAGACCTAGCTCATAATCTGAATTTACTTATTAGTGATATTATTAAATTAGAATAGATTCAAAATATATTATTAAATACTATTTTAGTTGTAAAATTTTTTAAAAAGCATACTATACCAGCAGCTATTTTAAAAAAATATCAAAAAATAAAATATGGATCAAAATTTAAATCTCTTAAACTTTCTGTTGAAACTAGATAGGGCTCTAGTGCAAAATGTTTAGATTCAATTAAATCAAATCAATTAGCTCTTAGCCTAGCTACTACAGAATTAATTAGTTATCCAACAGCTTCTATTAATTTTGAAATTAAAAATATAATTCAAAATGATAAGTTTTGGAATAAAGTTCAAAATTTATTAATTATTTTAAAAATTTTAGTAGATGGTATTATTATTTTTGAAGGAGATACTTCATATTTATCACAATTTTATAAATGGTATAAAAATCTTGAAACTAATAAATGTAAGTATTAATTTATTATATTTTATTTAAATATTATAATTAAATTTTGTTTTTAATATAAATATATTATTATATATAATTTAAATTTAAATTATTAATAAATAATATTTTATTAATATAATAATTTAATACTATATTATTATTTTTAAAATAATTAATTTTTTAATTAAATATAATTTTATTTATAGATTTACTTAATTGTTCTGCTTATAAACAAATTAGTGATATTATTACAAAAAGATGAAATACTTTATATAATCTAATAATAAAAATTACATATCTTATTTATTCAAGATTTCAAGGCCAAAGTTTAGCTAATGATATTATGACAACTGTATCTGATTTTGTTAAAAAATATTATTCTGAATTTTGTACTAAAATTTATAGTCAATTATTAGAATATATTAATCACTCTGGTCTATTTGATAATGATATAGCTTGGGAAACAATTAATAATATTGATTAAATTACTTGGTGGTCTGCAAATTTTTCTAATTCAGCTTCTAAACTTACTCAATTTGCTAAAAGAATTTTAACAATTCTAACATCATCTGTAGCATCAGAACGTAATTAGTTCGATTTTAGTTATATTCATTCTAAAAAAAGAAATAGATTCAAATTTTCAAATATATATAAATTAGTATATATATATAGTAATAGTAGATTAAAAAATTCTAATATTATAAAAGAATTAAATAGTTATAATCAAGTTAATAGTTTTAATAACTTTGATGAAAATAATTTAGATAAATTTTGGGAAAGCTATTTTAATAATAGTAAAAATGATTCTGAATTGTTTGATAATGATGAATCAGAAACAGAATCAAATATAGACTTTAGTGAAAATCTAGATTTTGAAATAGAAAATTA